GGGGGTGACATTTATTGCTCACTACCCCAAAGAAGATCTCAAGATTAATCAGTTACTTAAAATCTTCAAAAAAAATACAAAGATATAAAATTTGATATGGGTCTTATTTACAAGCAACACAATTGCTTTTCTTTTTTGTTACTTTTAAGCACTATCCCTCAAATTGTAAGGCTTAACATATAAATACTTGCCAATATCTAGATGTTTGTTACATGTGTGTTCCTAGACAAAAAGAGTTTTCTGTTTTTTTTTTTTTTTTTTTTTTTTTTTTCAGACAGGGTCTCACTATATAGACCCAACTGGTATTGAACTCACATTGAGATCCACCTGTCTCTGCCTCCTGAGGGTTGAGATTAAAGGCATGTGCAACCAACCATGCTTGATCCAGACCCCCCAAAAAAAGTTAAAGAGAGGAAGAAAAATACTGAAAAATGTCACATCACACCTCTTCCTCCACTATAATTTCATTGCTCTCTGTCCCAATTTGGCTGGAACCGAATTCTGGGCCACAGCTGTACACACAGCTGTGAAAACATACAGAAAAATACTTTTAAATGTTCATTTATTTAAAATGTTGAAGGCAAATAAATGTGACCACAGTAAGAACAGGTATTTACAAAAACACTTTGCCATCAAGGATGGTAAAAATGACAAATAACATCCTAGATTGGGCTCATCCCAGGGAACTAACTGCAGCTTTTCCTACATATCTTATTAGAACAACACACAAAAAAAAGGTGCTTCCTTTTCTCTTTTCTTTTTTTAAGATTTATTATGTATACAGTGTTCAGTCTGCATGCAAGCCAGAAGAGGGCACCGGATCTCATTGCACATGGTTGTGAGCCATCATGTGGCTGCTGGGAATTGAACTCAGGACCTCTGATGGAGCAGCCAGTGCTCCTAAACTCTGAGCCATCTCTCCAGCCCCAAAAAGGCACTTCTAATATGTGAAAGACATGAAACACTCCTTCTCTACTGATATACCACATGGGAGCTCAAGGCAGCTGCCCTGATGCTCTTCTGATTCTCTGTATCCTAGCAACAGTCTACCTACAGAACAAGCTACCTTCTGAATGAATGAGCCATCCTATGGAGCTTGAGCAGAAAAGGGAGATGGCTATTTGGAGCCCCGGAAGGCGGTGCTTTTCTGTGAACCACCCTTTCCAGTCTATCACTGGGGCTTTGCAAGAAAATCATGGGTTATCATGAATCTCTCTACCACAGGAGCAAGCTGGGTCCGAAATGCCAGCACATTCACACAGTTCCAGGACACGAAGTATCCTAGCAAATATTTGGGAAATCCAAACACTGGCAGACATGAACATGCTTAGGAAAATCAGAAAGTCAGGGTCAGAGGGGAAAATAGACCTTCAAGTTTCAAGTCCAGGCTTGGAAGGGTCAAGAGGCGATGATAATAGCAGGGCCTGGCCTGTGTCGGGCTATGAAAAGCAGTTGCTCCACATCCCCTAACTCCCATGCCTGAGAGGCAAGCTCTGAAAGACAATGTAAGGGGCAAACCTACTAACGGAGACACATTTGCCTGCACCAGTGGGCTTGCCTGCACCATCCCGTAAAGGTCCCAGGAAGCTTGTAGCATGCACACAGAAGAGAATGCATTTGCAGAGAGCTTGAGGCCTGTCAGGAAGCAGAAAGTTCCCTTCTGCTTCCTTTTTAAAAAATGTCCTTCATCTACATAGGCTTGACTCAGGGTAAAGTCTTTGAACCAGTGCCTAGTCAATGTGAAGGCTGGAAACAATATGGAATTGACGGTGTGAAAAGCTACCCCAGTTCCAAACATGTACCAAAGAAATCTGCACGCTTATACATCTAGTATCCAGGTAACACTTCTGTCATACAAGCAATATACACATTCAGGATGACAGTGTGAGCCTGTGGACAAGCGGGGACAAACTACTAAGATGATTTACCCCGAAGATCTTCACCAAGGTTTCCATAACTGCTGTTACTGAGCTTACTACCGTGTCTAGTGTTAGAAACTGCAGTATAAAGAAACCACCATTGTTCTCTAGCTTTAGAACTGTTCACCTTGGCAGTATTGGCTAAGGTAAACACCAGGCTGCTTCTCACACTGGAAAATGTCTTGCAGACCTTTAGGAATTCCCTTAAAGAAAGTACATTGTTTCTGTGGGTGACTCTGAGACAGTGCCAATGCTTAACTCCACCATGTTAACACGGAAGAGCTGATAACAGTCGGAGGAACAGGGAACAAGCAGCTTTCTTTTACGGTGAAGGAAAGGAGACACACCTGTTCCACATGGCAGGGCTGAGAGCTGGGCAAGGCAGGTTGTCTGTCTCCAGGGTTTATAGTTACAGATGGAGCATATGCAAAACAGCGTCCTGCGGTTTCTCTGTAGCTAGGTGCCAAAAGAAACCTTTCTCAAACTGGCTGGATTTTCTAAAAACAGCCAGGATTTGAACCTGAAAATTGCTCTGTTTTGCACGTGACTGGGAAATCACCCAAGCCAGCCCATTCTGAAATCAGTGATGTCACTGTCTACTCCTGACAGCAAGCCTCCCAGTGAACTACCTCGATGCCATGCCCAGATCTCTCCCTCCCTCGGTTCTCTGAAGCTGGGCTTCTTCCGTGACTGTCATTTACCAAGAACAAACAGCACAGGTTTAGACACCAGGCTGGAACAGTGCCCTGTCCAACGGACATTTGTCCTCCAGGGCAAAGAGATTGGAAAGTTCAGAAACCACTTGCTAACAGCTATTCTTTGCTGCTGTCTTCATCTGCTTTCGCTTAAATAAAAGCCAAGAACACATTTGATTCCGATCCTGGTGAGCAGAAAGAAAATCTAACTCCGCAGTGCTATCTCTTGGTTTCACTAACTGGCACTCATGTGAGCAGCAATCGCAAGACATTTTACCTGGATCCTGCTAGGCCACAAAACATGCCTCTTGCTAAGTCAGGTTGGCCATGTAGGTGAACAGTCTCAATGCCAAAGGCGAGAAGTACAAGTAGAATTTAAGCGTGTGCTTGTGTGTGTGGGGGGGGATAGACGATGTCACTATTATCTATTTACAGAGGAGAAAGAAATGCTATCCTCTGGAATGCATGGGTGACGGGGTGTGACCTAGTTAGTTTTCAACTAACCTAAGGTTCAGAGTGAAGCAGAAGGTTGCAAACAGTGGCCTGCAAGCAACGGGGGGCAAAAAAACAGAGGGTCCCACTCTATGGTGTCGCTACCATGCCCCTGCAGTGTCCAGAGTAGGAATGACCTGACCGAGGAACTCTAGCCATGGCATGGCGCCCAGGAGGACACTTATTGGGTCAGCCGTCGGGCGAGGGGTATTTCACACGCCGCCCCTTGCCATCCCAAGAGTGATGCTGAGAGGCAGGTGTCCTTTCCCAGGGATGTTATAAAATAGCCCAGTGATCAAAAAGGCGATGCAAACTTGAAATGACGTTTGTTTGCTTCTAAACTCTATTTCTCCCACACTGTGGAACAGTCTCCCTATGCCGTTCTTTCTGTCTGAGCTTCCTGTCAACCTGGTGCACACTACCTCAGAAAAGCACTCTTGAGTCACCGGCAGAACGGGGCGGGAACACAAGGCACAGGAATCACAAGCTATTCCAGGGAACCAAGAGCCTGCGTATGATTGCTTCCTCAATTTCTTTCTCAAGTTCTGCTCAGTGGTCTCATCTCTTCTAGCTACCAGCTATACATTTGCCTCCTACCTTTGCACACCCCACACACACACACACACAAACTGTGCAGCTAGAGGAACCTGATTCTGATCACTTTCCAACCACCCCAGCACCAGTGACATTCCAGTCCTGAACACAACTGTGGCCAAGTTTTCTCTTCAGTTCCCAACAGCTAAAAAGCCCAGGCTCCCAGGGGGTCAGTTCTGTCTTTTGTCAACCCCTTTCTGATGTTATTATCTGGGACTATGTGATTAGAAGAGCAGAGAAACATCCCTTTCATTAAGCAAGTTTACAAGCATATGTGAAGTGGAAGGATCCTAGGTCCTGGGGATGTAGAGGTAATTAGCAATCACCCCCTCCTTCAAAGCCCCAGAGATTTGCTCTGTAATTGCAACAAATACTTCCTGGCAACCTTCTTGGGCTGTGAGCAGAGACACCTGATTACCTTATGTGTGATTTCTCTGAGCTGTCTATCCAGTTTGGAGGTCAGCAAAGGAACAGCAGCTGAGCTCTGGCAACTTGGGTCAGTTTTCTTCTCTCTTATTCCCACTATTCTCTGGTATCTATCTTCCATAAGTTTCTCTTCTGACAACATGTTTTCTTCAATCTACTTTTTTTTTTTTTTTTTTTTTTTTGGAAGCCATACCCTATCTTCAAAGGACAAGATGATATTAAATAAGTTTTCAACCAGAGTGTTAGGTGCCTTAACGTGCGATCAGAAAAGTCCTTGGAGAAAACCCTGTTTATAGGAGAGGACCTGAGGCTCACTTACTCCCTGTCATTTCTCAGCAGTTTGCAAAGTCACAGTGCACCTGTTACTAAGAACCCGGGCGCTGTGTCACAGCGTCCAAGTCCAGGAAGAGGAGAGCCTGAACTCGAGACCTTTTTAAAAAACAAAACAAAACAAAAGTACCTTTTAATTGACTTATGGCATTATCTTCCACGATCAGAAAGAAGGCTTTTCAAAACCAACAAGACCAATTGCCATCATATGTTTCCCTAACTTCTAGTGCAGAGCTGCTCAGCTAGGCATTACTATCTCTCCCTAATAAATACTGAGGTTTACAGGAAAAGAAATATCCAGCTGGCTTTACATGAGGCACATTCACTCATGGACAGAACTGTGGGGAGCCATGACGTTTTACAATTGGCAGTACACACACACACACACACACACACACACACACACTTCAGAATACACAACTAAAGCAAACATACACACCCAAAGACAGCGAGGGGAAAAATGCATAGGTGTACAAGTTAGACTGAACAGATGCCTGGAACCTTTGTCCCTGGAGGAGTGGGCTCCTGTTCTTGGATTACTTACCTGCACATGTGGAAGTCCGGCTTCTCTCAGGACCTGGCTGACAGTTCCCGGGCTGCTGGGCTGTGACGCTGACAACACTAATCTTTAGAACTACAGGCAGGAAGGTGAGCGACAGCAGCATGGTCTCGGTGGTTCTAAGGTCAACAGACAGTGACTTAAGTTGCTAGTGCGCAGAGCAGGCGGAGTCGGTGTGTGTGACCCCCAGAAATTCCAACCAAGTCGGCCTTCGGCCCCAGGGCATCTTTTTATTTAGCTGTTTGAATGCTGCCTTCCAGCTCCTTCTCCACCTCTGTGAACCTCTGAAGGCAGCCTGAAATGCTTCAGGAGAGTTCTTATCTCTCTCTCTCTCTCTCTCTCTCTCTCTCTCTCTGTCTGTTCTCTCTCTGTCTCTCTCTTGTGTCTCTGTCTCTTTCTGTCTCTGCCTCTCCCTCTCTCTCTCTGTCTCTCTCTCTGGACAGCAATAAGAAATACCTGGCACCCTTAAGACAAATTTCACAGAGCCTGAGAGCTCTGGAGGCCTGTGGGTGACCGGTTTCTCACTGTGACAGGCACGGCCAGGCAAAGGCTCAGAGAGAACTAAGAAGGAAAAGAATGAATGCAAAGTTTCAAGCTCCACCGGGATGAGGTATGCGCCTAAAGAAATGTGCAGATAGGATTCCTTCTGGGCGCTTCTCCTTTTGGAACCCAGAGAGACTCCGATCTCCCTTTTAAATCTCTCCTGGCCCCACCCCTCGCCTTTAGTGTCACTTGAGCAAGCGATGAGCCTCTTTGCAAACACCAATGGGAGCTGTTCCACCAAGGGCAAGGTAGGGCAGGGTGCCAGAGAGGAGATACTGCCACTCACTAAAACTATTCAGGGCAGGGAAGGGGAAAGGGCAATTAGGGATGCAGAACGCCTAGTGGTTCCAGGGATCCGATGAGCGCAGCTTCTGTCTGAGGATCTTCAAAAACAGAGACAAAGTTAAGCGATGCATTTTAAATCCAAGATGAATAGCCCCGCAGACAATTTAGATTTATCACATTTGATCACCGGCGTGAGGAATGCAAAGGACAGCCACCTTCAGCTCATTATTTGAAGGATGTGTCAAGGGCTGCTCACATTCCTGGAGCTTCATCTTATTTCTCCTGCATATTTCATAGTGGGATTTCTAAGATTATTCTTCCATATCAAAGGGAAATCCCTGCAGCCCAGTGAGGAGATGCAATGTGCACACACACAATTTTTCTTTCAGCTCGAGTGTAGAAAGAGATCACCAGGGGTCAGGAGTGCAGGGGAAGGAGTGGATTGAGCTGGATGGACAAGAAAATAAAAGGGAATCGTGTAGAGGCTGGCGAGCCCTGGAAGCAGAGCCAGGCCGAGTGCACCTCAGGTAACTCAGGCCATCTTTCCACGCCTCAGTGATAGAACACGATAGTTTGCCTCTCCCCTAGCTGTCTCCTCCTGCACTCTCTACTTGGACCAAACCACTGCTCCTTCAGGAATATATACTCAGTACGAACACCCAGTTCTGGCCAGCCATTAACATCAGGCCTGATGACCAATGGGGATTTCGACCAGCTGACTTTATCCTGGAGTTGGACTTTCCTTTAAGTTGTCCTGAGGTAGGTCCCAAATTCAAGTCAAAACATAGCCAAAGCAATTATCTCAAAAGCAACAGACACGTGGGTGTATGCCCACCACAGAAAACAGAATGGCTTCAAGCCCTTTGCTCATGCTTAATGGCTCTTACTACTACTCAAAGATGAAAGGTTAAATCACGTTTTCCAAATTCCAGCCACCCTATTTCAGGCAGCTCTGACCCTGTGTAAGGAGAAACAGACCCTGAAGGAGCAAAAGAAGTCATGTGGATGGGTGTATGGAATATTTCATTGCTTTCTGGACTCATGGACACTCAAGACTAAGACTGAATGCCCCCCAAATAACCTGCACTGAGTATTCATTGCTAACCTTGGCAGTGAGCTTCCCCTTTATCAAACACATTTGCCAGTATTGATGATGATGTTAAGCAAAGAAAGGGGGTATGGAACACAGTACAGCATGAAGCCGAATTATCGCACTAATATAAACACAACCAGGACATAACCCACAGCTACATTCCATTTGGATTTGGAAACAGTCTATCGGTTTTGATTAGGAAACATTTGCTTTCAGGCTGGCGAGGTGGCTCAGCAGGTAAAAGTAAATGCTGCCAAGCCTGTTGACCTGAGTTTGGTTACTAGAACTCACATGATAGGAGGAGGAGATCGACTCGTGCAAGTTGTCCTGACTTCCATTCATGTGCATGGCACTTTCTCTCATACACATGTGTACACGCTCACCACAAGTGACTGTATGTAACTTAAAAAATTTAAATGTTTGCTTCCTTCATTACATGTCAGCTGAGATAAATGTCATTGATGCTGAACACAATGGTGTCACCATGGGAGACATGGAATCAACAGGGAGAGAGTAGATACTTCAGCTGATGGCACAAATCAATTCCGCAAATTTCTAGATCACCCAAAACTGCCCAAATAGTAAAATCGCTAAAATGAGCTACCAAACTACAAAAGGCTTCCAGAGGTATGTAGAAAGTCTGTGTTCTGACTTCCATCCCTAGGGACAAGGCACCGTGCTGAGGAACAGGAATGATGTTTCTTAATATCAAGGGCTTGCTGAAGTTGATTGTCAACAACAATAAAGGAGAGTATGGAAGCCTGAGCTAGTGAATGTCACTCACCAAGTACTCTGGGGAACAGGAGGCAGAAGACAAAGGGACTGGCAAGCGCAGTGAGCTGGGACTGTGACCCTTGGATAGAACGTTGACAAGGAGAAGGCAGCAGTGACAAGAGAGGATGAGGGACAAGAATGGACAAAGAAAACAGTTGCCTACCTATTAGATTCTTAGGTGCTGAGGGACACAGGAGGGTGGAGGAAACCTCAGGAAGGTCTGTAAGGGATTCGACCTCAGCAGCAAGGGCATAGCTCTAGGCGCTGTTTAGTGTGGGTGGCAGCGATGGCTAAGAGGAAGGGGTTATCAGAGGAAAGCTATGTTTACATGTACAAGCAATTATTCTGAGTCTTCGGAGGAGTCATGACCACCACCATGCTACCAATAGATTACCTCCTTTGGGTTATACTTATGTCACCTCTAATCATCATCACCTTGTAGGGGATGCTAATGTTATTATCCTGTGTCACCAACTTAGACATGGAAGATTATTCATATATGTATGGCTAATGGGGACCCTGAAGTGCTATCCTTTGCTTGCTACACAGTGAATGTGAATGAACAAGCAGAGATCACCAAAAAGAAGGACAGACCTTAGAATACATTCAGGTTGTGACTGTAGAAACCAGAAGTGACAGGTCATCTGTCTTAGTAAAATGACTGTCAGCACCCACAGAAATAATACTGTTGTTATTTGAATGAGGGATGTCCCACATGGACTTGGATATTTGAATACTTGCTCTTCAGTTGGTGGCACTATTCAAAGAGGCTTAAGACATGTAGCCTTGCTGGAGGAAATAATTCACTAGAGTGGGCTATGAGGATTCATAGTCTCTCTCTTCTTATAGTTCACACTTTCCGATTCATGGCTGTGGTTGAGATGTGATCTCTTAGCTTCCAGGTCATGATGTCATGCCTACTCCTTACTGCCATGCCTTCCCATAATGAACTCTTATCCCTTCATAAGTCCAAATCATCCCTTCCTTCTGTAAGTTACTTTTGTCGTGGAGTTTCATCATAGCAACATATAGTAACCAATATAGAAGATGGTACCAGAGGTCAGGAAGTTGACCATGTTGGGTTTAGAAGCTGTGGAAGACTTTAGAATGTTAGCTTAGATAAATGGCTGAAATTAATAAATAAATGGCATAAATAAATAGGTAAATGACAGAGCTTAAAAGCTAATTCTAATAAGAACCTAGAAGACTGCATTGCTGAGAGTAATGAATATTGTAGAAGCCCAGCTCAAGGGATCTCAGAAAGAAGCAAGAATTTTAAGGACAACTTGGCTGGAGGCCATTCACATGATACTTTGGCAATGAATCTAGTTGTTTTCTGCCTATGTCCTGAGAACTTGCCTGAAGCTAAGTTAAAAAGTAATGGGCTCATTTCTCTGATGGAAAAAATTTCAAGACTGCATACTTTCAAGTCTTTGGTGTGGTTATTTTTGATAATGCTTGTCCAGATCTACAATGAAAGGGAGCAAGTGGAGCAGAAAGAAATACCAAAGGTGTGGTTTAGAGAGAAAACGGTACTAGAAAACTTAACGTTACAGCCAAGGCGCTGTGCTGGAAGGGAGGCCTAACTGCTAAGGAGGTTAGTGCCATTAAAGAAGATTTTCCTCTGCCTGGAACAAGACCCCCACCCACGTAAGCTTCCAGTGTGTGAAAGAGAGTGTATGGAATGTTCTGCTTCTAGAAAGCAACTGCTGGACAATACTGCTGCTAATGGGATTCAAAAGGACCAGGATCCATCTTAAGCTGACACCAAACTCTGTGGTGCTGGCTGTAGAGGAAAGGATTCAAGAGTGAAGAGATCATGGATTTTTTTTTTCCTCTCAAGTTTCAGAGAGAAACTGAGGCTAGGCAGAGTGTGGTGCACGTGTCCTAGAGTGGGAAAGATTCCCGTGTGACATCACTAAGAAGGCAAGAGGCTTGGCAGAGGCCATTTTGTAAAGATGTGAAAGAGCCGGTGTTGCATCGGAGACCCCAAGATGGTGGATATCCCAGGGATGGGAAACATCTGATGAGGAGAGATGCAGGCAAGGAGTGGAAGCAATCCAAAAAGAGACATGCTGCAGGAAGAAAACCTGGACAAACAGAGCCAAATATGCTGCATAGTTTATGTCAACTTGACACAAGCTGAAAGAGGGCACCTCAATTGAGAACATGCCTCCATAGGATGGTATAGACCATCCCTCTCTCTCTCCACCCCCTAGGGGTAGGATTTCTCTAGCCTTAGTTGTCCTGGAACTTACTTTGTAGATCATCCTGGCCTGACCTTGAACTCACAAAGATCCTCATGCTCTGACTCCTGAGCACTGGGATTAAATGTGTAAAGGTGTACACCACCACACTTGGTGTCCATCCTCTTAATTAGTGATTGATGCAGGAGGGCCCAGCCCATTGTGTGTGCTACCACTCCTGGGCTGGTGGTTCTAGATGCTGTAATAAAACAGGCTGAGCAAACCATGTAAACAGCATTCCTCCATGGCTTCTACATCAGCTCCTGGGGATTCAGGTCTCCACTTTGTTTGAGTTCAGGTATTAGCTTCCCTCAATAGACTGTGATTTAGGATATGTAAGCCAAATAGACTCTTTTCTCCACATTGC